GCATTGGGGGGAAAAGGGGGCAAATCAGAGGGGGAAATTATGGCACGCAGTGGGGGTGAAGGCTGGTGAGTGAGGAAAGGGAACGGCAGCAACGACATGGGGAAGGGAAGGGAGGTGCTAGCGAGAGAGGGCGCGACGAGGGGAGTAGAGGCGCGACAAGAGGCACGTCGAGAAGTGTCGCGACAACGGGGTGGTTGGGACGAATGGAGGGGAAGTGACGAGGGGAGGGCGAGGGGAGTCGCGAAGAGGGGAGGGCTCCGCGTGATGAGGGGAAGCGCGACTAAGGGGGGGAGGCGCCGCGCCGCGCGGGTTATCGTCGGGGTATCAGCAAATTCAGCTACCTCGTGATTGGTCTATGGTTTTCTTACGAAGGTGCGCGAAAAGCTCTGCGAAAGTCGACGACGTCGCCTAGGCTCAAAGGTATTCTTGCGGCCACTTGGGATGGCGAGGGGAGGCGCGACGAGGCGGGGAACGACTAGAGAAGGCGTGTGACAGTGAGAGGGGAGGAGCTAAGAGGGAGGGTGCCTTGACAACACGAGGTACGCCGCTGTCACACACCTTGGCGCTGGCGAGGTGCGAGGTCAGGCGAGGAGGCGAGGCAACAGTTACTACCCTCGCGCCAACGCTCACGAATATCAGTGATACGACGTATACGGATGCAGTGACGAATGCGCTCTTGGAATGCCCGTAATTGACGTCGCTAGCTTCCTTCTATCCGGAAAAAAAAATATTAACTGCAAAATCTCACAAAAGTGAGCAGGGTTTTGAGTATGACAGCCCATGTCCCAAGTAAATCATGCGCTACAGGTTGGTTCTCAGGTTGTTCTCAGGTATATTCTGTTCGCCAACCCCCTTCGAAATCATATCGTTTCGCATATGCGATCCCTTCAAGCATGCGAAATCCTTTCACGAATTAAATCTCCGAATCTCGTCTTCATTCGAAACTAAGTTCCTGTGCTCGGCGAGTTGAGATCGATTTCGCAGACGCGAACTCACGGACTCTCACCAGTTTCTGTTTTCCAGATTTCGTTCATGGCGATTCACACCCTCACCCGAAGTAACCCCTCGCCAGGGAAGCGGTCGCCGGGTAACCAGGCACCTGGAATTTGGATCACTGTGCTCTTGCCCCCCTGCCCTCGCGAGCGAGCGAGAGAGACAAGAACCTAGACATCCAAACCACATGAAGGCGGAAAGGCGGGCAAGAGGCGAAAGCACCACTCGAATCCTGCGTTTCGAGCCGGACTTGTCAGGCATTTTTTTTTTTTTTTTTTTTTTTTTTGCGAAAAGCAATTTTGCCAGTGCGAGACGGATTTGGCGCAAAAGTGGTGTGGGGCTTGTAAAATCCAAACCACCTGAAGTCGCAACGAAATGTCGCAAGCGGAGTAACACTGGCGGTGGGCGACAATGGACAGCCGGACGAAAGGGTCGAGGCAGCTAGTGTACAACATTACTTGTGTATAACATTGGTTATTTACTCTACGTTTTAATACAGACTAACTGAAAATTAGAATGGCCAAGTAAGAATTGCGTGTGGTTTGGCTCGTAACTCTATATTTCGTGGTTCATTTTGAATGAAACCTAGATTTCCTGAACCTCCATGAACTCCTCTACAAAGAGTGATGTTTTTTTTTTTTTTTTTTTTTTTGCCAAAAAACAACAGTTTCGTTACTTTTGCCTCAACTAAGGTTGCTACTAGCACCTACAATGTCATTCCCTGGACATTAGTCACATGTTATTTTTTGGTAACCTGTTGTGTTCTGGATTTTAGTGTCAGGACTCGTTATCCAGTCTCCCAACACATTTTCAGCTCATTGTACACAGCCTAGCTTGATTTTTCTAGCATGGATTCAGTGCAGAATTGCCTGGAATCAGGTTTTCATGTGAAATCACCTACTTCTACTTTGGAAATTGACTTGATTTTGATAGGGAACGCTCATCCCACTCATTACACATCCCCCTATCAAATTCACCTCATTTCATCAAGGTTTGCTATGGTTTTCATGCCTTGTCCTGCAGCAGACTGCAGATTTTTGTGCAGAATTGCCTGGAATCAGGTTTCATGTGAAATAACCTACTTCTCCTTGGGAAAATGACTTGATTTTGATAGAGGACCCTCATCACACTCATTCCACATCCCCCTATAAAATTCACCTCATTCCATTAAGGTTTGCTATGGTTTTCATGCCTTGTTATGCAGCAGACTGTAGATTTCTCTGCAGAAATGCCTGGAATCTGGTTTCACGTGAAATAACCTACTTCTTCTTGGGCAAATGATCTGATTTTGATAGGGGACTCTCGCCACAATTATTCCAGATCCCACTATTAAATTCATCTCATTTCATCAAGTTTTGCTATGGTTTTCATGCCTTGTTCTGCAGCAGACTGCAGATTTCTGTGCAGAAATGCCTGGAATCTGGTTTCATCTGAAATCACCTACTTCTACTTGGGAAAATGATTTTTTTTTTTATAGGGGACTCTCATCACACTTATTCCAGATCCCCCTATCAAATTCACCTCATTTCTTCAAGGTTTGCATGGTTTTTCATTCCTTGATCTGCAGCAAACTACAGATTTCTGTGCAGAAATGCCTGGAATCTGGTTTCATGTGAAATCACCTACTTATACTTGGGCAAATGATCTGATTTTGATAGGGGACTCTCATCACACTTATTCCAGATCCCCCTATCAAATTCACCTCATTTCTTTAAGGTTTGCATGGTTTTTCATGCCTTGTTCTGCAGCAGACTGCAGATTTCTGTGCAGAAATGCTTGGAATCAGGTTTCATGTGAAATCACCTACTTCTACTTGGGCAAATGATATGATTTTGATAAGAGACTCTCATCACACATATTCCAGACCCCCCTATCATTTTCATTAAAAAAAAACAATAATAAAGTTTTGGGTGTGTTTTCTGATGGCAGAATTTCCTAGAATCAGGTTTCTAGTGAAATCACCCACTTCTCCTTGGGCAGGGGATCTGAATTTGATAGGGCACTCTCATCACACCTATTCCTGACCCCCCTCTCAATTTCACATTTTTTTTTTTTTTTTTTTTTCACAGGGTCAGACCGTGTACGTGTTATACGAGGACGCAACAGATTTTTCGACCACATGATCATTGTCAGATGGTACGTTTATGCATGCATTGCAGATAAGGTCGATGGAAGCGTGAGCATCATTGGTGGAATAACAATCTGGAAATCCACCGCAAGTTTGTCAGACGGTTGCTTCTGCATGCAACATTCATTGGTAGAAAAACAATATGGAAACCTACTTGGCAATCTTTCTGCCAGTCTAACTGCATAATAGAGAATTTGGCGCTCAGATAATGACAACTTGCATGCGCAATCCAATGTTGCTTTTTTTCGTGTAAGAAAGGTTGATCACGTGCGGTGAAACAAAGCGCGCCAAAACCTGCGGGCGACATACCCTAGTCTATCGGTTCATACCGAGAAGCTGTGAACACGTCGGGTTGAGTTGGGAGGCGAGGGTTGATTTCACGTTCGGGAGCCCATTTTGTTCCTCATCCTTGGCATTTTCCTCAGTTTCTCTACTCTACTCTAATCTTCTTCCTAGACTTCTCTCTCGTATCATTGCATTGGTCAGAGACCACTTTGGACGCCAATTCCTCAAATTTCAGCAGTGGTAGAGTTCTTACCGGTGCGGGATGACAGTATAACCTCTGCGTGGATTTCCGTCATAGGTTAGCCATGACCAGATTATTGACTACGGAGGGGTGTGGCATGTGTGTACGACTCGGAAAGGCATCCTACGACAGCTTGTGCAAGGGCCAGATAGAGTGGAACGAAGCTTTATTAGCATACGACATTCTGTAAGTTATTTTCATAACTCACGTAGCGAATCATAAACGCCTCTGCGTTCTTATTGTCAAAATAGCTGGCAAAACGAGGAGCCATAGCTAGGGTTTTGGCTAGCTAGGCAAGAGAAAACAGGCAAAGGAGGGATTGCACTAGCAAGCAGGTGGATACATATAGGAAACCCTAAGGGGCCGTACTCACTATAGAGTACCCCACTGCAGGCTAGACAAACTACACATTCTGACACTTATAGTATCCGCCGGCATCCGCCATACTAACCCTACGCTCGACCGTCCTCTGCACAGTGAAGTTGCCAAGGACAAGCTTGGCGCAAGGGAGCTTAAGGACGTCAAGATCCTCACTCCAAGCGAGCTCCGACGCTTGAGGAATGAGCAACCACGCAAGCCAACGTGCAGAAGGGGTTATTGGTCTCTGCTCGACTATCAGATGGTTATCATAACTCTTCTCTCTGCGTAAGTGTTTTATTATGTATATGATGAGTATTTCAACCATTCCGTACAAACCTACTAATAATTATATTTCTGGATGGCAGAGTTCATGAGCCGCCCAGCGCATCAATCAGCCTTATGGTTCTATTGAACCCTAAGGATTTGCTGGCCCCACCGCGCGGCGATTACCGTACATGTGTCATTCACTTCGACCCAAAGTCTGGGGTTCCTGACTGTCGCCACACCCATTTTGCTATCAATGTTTTTATGTAAGCGGTTTTTTTTTTCCGTTTCTATTACCATCTGCCGCACCTGGTATACATCATCTAACTACCCATCAATCCATACAGGTGGCTTGTTGAACAACTGGAGCTCGAGTTCACAAGAGGCGGCGTATATAGTGGCGGCCATATAGGAGAGGTCATCTGCGACATGAAAGTCCGTCTCAACGCTGTGGACGTCGAAGTTGGAGCGGTATGTGTCAATCATTATGGTTGTTTAAGTTATTCCTGGCGTGAAACGTTACTGTGCACTAACACTTCTCCTTGTTTCTGTTGCGGTATAACGTAGATCAACAAGGTGCAGGGGCGTTATGAGGTGGGATCGGGCCTGCAAGTGACTCACCTGTTTAGCAAGCTTTTGGACAAATGGGGGGACCTTTTGGCGCTGCAGATTGAAGACAACATGATCAATTTGGGCGGTGGTAAAAATAAGGCCCACGAAGTCGGATGTATGCTCGTGAGTAGCTGCCGTGCTTGTTTCGACCATTTTGAAGAGGATGCTCTTGCGGTAGGGAATGAGGCGACCGACGAGGTGGAGACGATGGAGGAAAGGGTCGAAGATGCGGTGGCGAACCAGGACGTGAGAGTTAGGAGGACCGAGGGGGTGATGGTGGCGTCAGTGCAGAGAGGTGCACGCGAGGACGAGAGGCATAGAGGAGGAGCCGCGGTAGTAGAAGAAGCGGCACCAAGGGTTGCAGAAGTATCTTATTCCTGGAGATCCCAAGCACCTGGTCCGGGAGAATGGTCGGCTCAAGCAGATGAACGGGCGAGGAATGGCGCCCGCCAGATCAGGTTTTTGGAACGTGTTAGGAGGTCTGCTCGTCGTGAGACGGAGACGCAGAGAGAAGGGGTGGGGATGTTGACTGGAAACTTGCAGGGTATAGACGAGGCTGTGCAGACATCGGAGGGGGTATTGGAAGAGGAACGTGCTAGAGGTGGAGGAAGGTAGCTCAGTTTTGCAGAAGAGGAGTTGGTGGGGATATTGGAGGAAGGCGAGGAGGGTGTAGAAGATTCGCAACAACCAAGTGAGGTGGAACTGGCTACGGACCCTAACGTGTCCTTTCCGGGAGCACAAGAAATACGTGACGCGACAGGTGCAGGCGTGGGAGTGGTAGGAGAAGAGGATCTCACCAGCAATGTGTGGCAGCGGACCGAAGAGGATGCGGGGTACTTGAAAGTTAGTTTGCCAAGAGTAAAGTGGAAGGCGGTGGAAGAGGCACGGAGAGTGGACGTCGACGACCCAACGGTTTCCGAAGAGGCGCAAATGAAGGCGGAGGAGGTGGAAAAGAAGATGGAGGAAGAGATGCAGGAAAGCGTGGTGGCGGAGGCGAGGATGATAGCGGATGCAGAGACACCGAAGATCGTGGAGGCGGAGGTGGTGAAAAAGGCGGCGGCAGAGGCGCAGAGGATCGCGGCGGCGGAGACGAAGAAGAAGGCTACTGCAGAGGCATTGAAGATCGCGGATGCAGAGGCGCATAAGAAGGCGGAGGCAGAGGCGCAGAAGAAGGCGAAGGCAGAGGCGCAGAAGAAGGCGGAGGCAGGGGTGCAGAAGAAGGCGGAGGCAGAGGCGTAGAAGAAGGCAGAGGTAGAGGCGCAGAAGCTCGCAGAGGCAGAGGTGCAAAAGAAGGCGAATGTAGAGGCGCCGACAAGGGCAGCGGCAGATGCGCATAAGATGGCGGAGGGTGAGGCGCAGAAGTACTTGGAGGCAGAGGCGCAGAAGAGGGCGGAGGCAGAGGAGCTGAAGATCGCAGAGGCAGAGGTGCAGCAGACGCCTAGGGCAGAGGCGCAGAAGATGGTAGAGGTAGAGGGAAGAACAAAGGCGGATGCATAGTCACATAAGTTGGCAGATGAAGAGCTGCAAAAGAGTGCGGATGCAGAGGCGCCAAAGTTTGCAGAGCCAGAGACGAAGAAGAAGGTGGAGGCAGAGATGCAGAAGTTCGCAGTGCAGAAAAGGGCCGAGGCAGAGCTGGAGAAAAAGGCGGAGGCAGAGGCGCAGAAGTGCTCAGATGCAGAGTCGGAGAAGATTGTGGATGCAGAGGCGCCGAGGATCGCGGAGGCAGAGGCGTAGAAGCACGCAGAGGTAGCGGCGTAGAGGAGGGCGGATGCAGATGCGCAAAATTTTATAGACGCAGAGGCGCAGAAGTTTGCGGTTGCAAATGCGTAGACAACCGCGGAGCCGGAGGCACGGAATAATGCGGAGGTAGAGGGCCAGAAGAGGGCAGAGGCAGAGGCACAGAAGACGGCGGATGCAGAGGAGCATAACATCACAGAGGCAGAGGGGCAGAAAAGGGCCGAGGCAGAGGCGCAGAATAATGCAGATGCAGAGGAGCAGAAGAAAATGGAGGAGGAGGCGCGGGAGAGAGAGGAGGCGGGTGTGAGTTGCAGCGAGGCAAATGCGATGGAAACAGAGGAAGATGAAACAAAGGAGGATGCGGTACATCCGTCGGTCTGGATGGTATTGGGAGGAACTTCGAGGCAGGGACCAGAAATTGTGGCTGAGAGGGCATGGAGAGTGGCAGAAGATGGGGCGTCGAGGGATACAGTGGATCTTCCAAGGATGAGCGATTGCAAGATATTCGTCAGAGAGCTGAAGAGACGAATCGCTTGCAAGAGGGGGAGCAAGAGATTGACTTCGAGGAGAGGGGACGTGGGTGGAGGAAGAGTGGGTCGAGGCAGAGGGGGCAATTCGGCGGATGCTGTGGCGCACGTGTACAGTCCTGGTAGAACAAGGTGACGGGTTCATCGAGGGCGAAAGCTGGGACATAAGCCCAGCCGAGGTCACGCGTCGTCTGACCTTATTAGCCCGAACGATGGCGCAGACATTCTGTAACTTGGCGGCCCGCAATAGGAGTATCATTCGTGACGTCGGTGATTTGACTGTCCATTACTGCCGCGACGCCCTCGCCAACTTGGCAGAGGTCCGCCATGGAAACAACGAACGTCGCCGGGAAGCACAAACGGCGGCCGAGTTTCGCGAGCAAATCTGATCGACTCTCTCTACCTTGCAGGCCAGTCTACTAAGCGTGAAAGTTCAGGTTCGCTAGTCAGGAGGGGAGATGAGGGAGGGGATGTTAAGGGAGGTGGAAGAGAGGTGGTTAGCGGTTCTGAGAGAGGACACCGAGCGGTGGAAGAGGGAGAGACTGCATGAGGAGGAGCGGCGGCAGAAGGAGGAGGAAAAGAGGAAGGAAGCAGAGGACACCGAGCGATGGAAGAAGGAGAAACAGCAGGAGGCGGAGCGCCGGCAGGAGGAGGCCAATAGGAAGGAAGCAGAGGACGCCAAGAGACGGAAGGAGAAACAGCAGGAGGAAGAGCGTCGGCAGAAGGAGATGAGAGAGTGTCAGAATGTTATATTTGTCTAGCCTGCAGTGTGGTACTCAATAGTGAGTACAGCCCAATTTAGGGTTTGCTATATGTACTCAACTGCCTGCTAGTGAAACCTCTCTTTTCTGATTCATTCCTTCACAATTCTAACATGGAATCAGAGCAGGTCGACCCTCCCGGGTCGATCTTGTGCATGGGCCCACCGTTAGCTTCCGCTGCTGCTGTCCTGCCTATCGCGCGCCTCGGGCGCGCGCCGTTTTTCTGCCTGCCGCGCGCCCATGGCGCGCGGCGGTTTTCTGCCCGTCGCACCGCCCTGCAGGCCGCGCGACGCCCTGACCTGCCCGTCGTGCACCCCGTGGCGCGCGACGTTGCCCTGCCCATCGTGCGCCCCGAGGCGTGCGACGGTTTCGTCGCCTGTCGCGGCGCCACGGGGGCCCGCGCGCGGCCCCCCCTTCGTCGCCCGTCGTGGTGCCCTCGGGGGCCGCACGTCCCCCCCCTTCCCGTCGCCCGTCGTGGCGCCCTCGAGGGCCCGTGCGCGACCCCCTCCAGTCGCCCGTCGTGGCGCCCTCGGGGGCCCGCGCGCGACTCTCTCCTGACGCCCGTCGTGGCGCCCTCGGGGGCCCGCGCGACCCCCACCCCTGTCGCCTGTCCAGGCGCCCTTAGGGGGCCCGCGCGTTACCCCTCCTGCAGCCCGTGAGCCGCCCCTGCAGGCCCTGTTCGGCCCCTATGTCCCGCTTCCGCTCCCGCCCCGGGCTGCCTGTGTTAGGGTTTGGGGGTGGCGCGTATGGGGGTGACGGATGTGTGCGGCCTCCCCTACTCCTCCTCCTCCTCAGTCTACCACTGCTGCAGCTACCGCTGAGGAGGGTGGATGTGTGGGAGCTGTCGGAGTAGTACTACGGGGGGGTGGCGTGTGAGCAGTGTTAGAGGCGCAGCAGGGGGTGTGTGAAAGGGGGTTGAGAAAGTTAGAGGGAGGTTGGGCGGAGGCAGCCGTCGTGTCGCCAGCAGCGCCAGTAGTCCGGAGGCTACAATCTCCGGTAGCCCAGCGAGCCTGCTGCGCTAGTCGCCCGTGGGTCAGTTGCTCCTGCCGCTCAGAGTTAGCCACGGAGCCAGTTACTCCAGTAGTCCGGAGGCTACAATCTCCGGTAGCCACAGTGCGCGCCGCTCCTATTGCCCGTGTTTCTGCAGCTTCACCCGTCGTCTCCTATCTCCACTCCTCTCACATTCCCTCCTCCTCCTCACTTACCGTCTGTGACTGCCTCTAGCTTTGCTTATATTTGTGAACAATTGCTCTGCTTGCTTGTTGTGCTGATTACACCCCACTTTGGCTATGGGGGTGTGTCAGAATGTTATATTTGTCTAGCCTGCAGTGGGGTACTCAATAGTGAGTACAGCCCAATTTAGGGTTTGCGATATGTACTCAATTGCCAGCTAGTGAAACCTCTCTTTTCTGATTCATTCATTCACAATTCTAACAGAGAGGGGATGAAGGAGATGAAGGAGGTGATGAAGGTGATGAAGGTGATGAAGGAGATGAAGGCGGGTATGAAGGAGATTAAGGATGGGATGTTAAAGCAGGTGGTAGAGAGGTTGACAGCGGCTCTGAGAGAGGACTCCGAGCGTCAGAAGAAGGAGAGACAACAAGAGGCGGAGCGGCGGCAAAAGGAGGAAGCAAAGAGGAAGGAAGCAGAGGAAGTCGAGCAACAGAAAAAGGAGAAACAACAGGTCGAGGACCGGTGGAAGAAGGAAGAGGCGAAGAGGAAGGAAGCAAAGAACACCGAGCGGCGGAAGAAGAAGAAACAACAGGAGGAAGAGCGGCAGCAGAAGGAGATGGAGAAGGGGATGAAGGAGATGAAGGAGGTGGTGAAGGAGATTAAGGCGGGGATGAAGGAGTTTAAGGAGGGGATGCTAAGGGAGGTGGAAAAGAGGTTGACAGCGGTTCTGAGAGTGGACTCCGAGCAGCTGGAGAGGGAGAGACAACAGGAGGAGGAGCAGCAGCAGAACGAGGAGGCGAAGAGGAAGGAAGCAGAGGATGCCGAGCGGGTGCAGAGGGAGAAACAGCTGGATGAAGGAGCAGCGGCAGCTGGCAGAGGCAAAGAGGAAGGAAGCAGAGGACGCCGTGTCAGATGTATATGCCTTAGCCTATGTAGGCTGTAGTGGGGTAGACACTAAGGGGTACAGGTTTTATATTTGTATTTCACACTTTCCTAGTTCATTCATTCCTGCTTAATTCTTCACATGGTATAGAGCGGGTTCCCTCATGGGACCGTTCCTTCCTAAGGGCCCACCATAAGCAACTTTTTTTTAGCTGCCCGAAGCGTGTCTCGCGCCCTGCCCTAATTTTTTTTTTTTTTTTTTCGCGGCCCCCTAGCGGCCCCTAACGGCCCCTACGCGGCCCCTACGCGATCCCTACGCCGCCCCTAAACGGCCCCGTCGTGGCCCCGTACCTGACGCGGCCCCGTCCCTGACGCGGCACCGCCCCTACCCAGCCCCTACGCGGCCCCTACGCGGCCCCTACGCGGCCCCTACGCGGCCCCTACGCGGCCCCTACGCGGCCCCTACGCGGCCCCTACGCGGCCCCTATGCGGCCCCTACCCGGCCCCTACGCGGCCCCTACGCGGCCCCTACCCGGCCCCTACGCGGCCCCTTGCGCGGCCCCCTACGCGGCCCCTCAGCGGCCCCTACGCCGCCCCTACACGGCCTGACCCGGCCCCGTCCCTGACGCGGCCCCTACGCGGCCCCTACGCCGCCCCTACGCGGCTCCTACGCGGCCCCTAAACGGCCTGACCTAGCATACCCTCTGAGCATCTTGGCATGCTATGTTGCTCCTGGGAGACACCGACCAGAGCACATGGCTGCAGCGAAGAGGGTGTTGCGCTACTTGTGCAGTACTTCGAGCTTGGGGCTAGTGCTTGGAGGGCGGAGTCCAGTGGTCCTCACTGGTCACGCAGATGCGTCTTGGGTTGACGACCTGGCTACTCAGCGGTCGTCACAGGGTTACACCTTCAGCCTTGGTTCCGGCTCTGTTTCGTGGCGGTCTACTCGCTCGTCTTCTGTTCTCAGCTCCAGCTGTGAGGCTGAGATCTACGCAGGGGCCATGGCTGCACAGGAGTTACGCTGGCTCACCTACTTGCTGACTGACCTGGGAGAGCCGCCTCGTTCTCCTCCAGTTCTGTACGTAGACAACAAGGCTATGCTGGCCTTGTGTCGGGAGCACAGACTGGAGCACAGAACTAAGCACATTGCTCTTCGCTACTTCCTTGCTCGTGAGCTGCAGCAGCGTGGTCAGCTGCGCCTTGCTTACGTGGCCTCTCAGGCCAACACTGCTGATATCTTTACCAAGGCACTTCAGCCTTGTGATCATCAGCGTTTCTGTACTATGCTAGGTCTTGTGCCTACTTGGCCTCACTTGCTTACCTCTTGACTTTCCTTGTACTGTGATCTATATATACCTGCACTTGCTTGTTTACCTTTATATATGAACTTGCATGTGAACTGGCCTTGTGGCCTTTGAACCGGTGCTCAGACTGTGTGGTGACGTTGTGATCCACCCTGAGCTTGCTTTGCTTTGCTTTGCTTGACTGGTCTTGTGACCCCTAGTTCTCCCCCACTTTGCCTATGGGGGTGTGTCAGATGTATATGCCTTAGCCTATGTAGGCTGTAGTGGGGTAGACACTAAGGGGTACAGGTTTTATATTTGTATCTCACACTTTCCTAGTTCATTCATTCCTGCTTAATTCTTCACATGCCGAGCGGCTGCAGAGCGAGAAACAGAAGGAGGAGGAGCAATGGAAGAAGGAGGAAGCAAAGAGGAAGGAAGCAGAAGACGCCGAGCAGGTGCAGAAGGAGAAACAGCAGGAGGAAGAGCGACGGCAAAAGGAGGAGGCGAAGAGGAAGGACATCACAAAAAACCAGTGTTTTTGAAGGGGTTCGAAGGGGAGTACAGTTCAGGTGTTTTAGTTGGCGAAGTTCCGAAACAAAAACGCGACCAATCACGGGATGAAATCGGAACGCGTTTGTTTGTCAGAGTCGAAATTGAATTCGCGACTCCGGTACATTGTCGTTTATTTGGAGCGTGCCAAATTGGTTGTAAATTTGTAATTGGTTTTCTTAGCTTTGACTTCTGTAAAAGGTGACTGCTGGAAAATATGCTGGCCATTTTATTACAAGATACATGCATCACATTTGATACTTATTAAGGAGATAGGTACTGTCCAGATGGAATGCCTTCACCACATGGACGTGGCGGAGCAGCGCTTCAATCGGAATCACAGAGTACGCATACATTCCTGTCGTCCACTTGAGGCGAAGGCATCCTGTTGCAGCATCCTCTCCGCTTGCATTCCAATATCTAATGTACGCCAGCTCCTCCCTCTCTCCACGTATTTTTGTATGGAACAACAGAAGCAACCTTGCATACCACTCCTCTCTCCGACCATACCTTACACCCTCCACTGCAACATCCGAGTACCATGGCCTCTCAAAATAGTCAGGAGTCGCTCGAACAAAGTGAGAAACTCTTGAGAAGCTGGCGTCTTCTGCCGCAGGGATTGCCAGCGATGCATGGGCCTGCATAACAATTGGTGGTAGTCATCACTGATACTGGCCAGTCAAATGATGGTTGATTGCACAAACATTCAAGTACTTACTCGAATCTTGGTGACGCATCCGGCATAACGTATTAACGCATCCTTGAGGGCAGCTTAGGCACCAGGGTGTTGCTTGGCCCACTTCCTTGCAAACCAGTTGGTGGAGGTGGGTTCTTCTGGTAACTCCACAGGGAGGAAGTATGACTCCTTAATAAGAGTCCGTGTGTCGGTCTCAATTGCCTGCCAACATATGATAAGGATTTTATTATATTCTGCATTCATATCCATGCAATTCAAGTACTAAACATGTTTACCTGCCGCATGGCTGTGTCCCGGCCAGCAGGATCGTCCACCGGCACCACATCCGGAATGCGCCTAGCATGGAACTTCATGATCTGCCCATCTACATTGCGCTTGTTGGATTGACGGTAGATCCTCTTTACCAACGGTCCGTGCAAGTGCTCAAACATGTTGGTGCTGAATTCGGTCACATGACCCGCTCGACAAATGGAGTCGACGTAATGCGACATGAGATGGGTTTTCACAAGGCACCAAGAGGATGGCTGCTTTGGAAAGGCAGCCTGCAACTGGTCAACCAGCCTGATGGGAGTGGGGAATGACAACACGTGCAAACACATCAGAGTCTACTTATTCATATGGCTTTCCTATTCTAGATTCTTTCCTGTAAAAGTTTAGCAGCAACATCCTCACCAGATTGCCTACTACAAGAGCACATTTACAGTAGCCAAACATTCATCCCATGCAGAGGGGTTTACATGCATGGTATTAGTACCGGGACGTCATCTTCTTCAGCTCCCGGAGGGACCGCTCAGTGTGCCCCTGTGGCTGGGAGGTACTATCCAAGATAGGCACGAACTGCATCCATCTGGGGCTGACGAAGCAGGCCGGCAAAAACAAACACCATGACCTGCAGAATTCGGGGATAGCAGCAAAGGGGAGGGTTAGCACAGATGGTGTGAGGAGTAGGGACAAGGAGTGGCAGCATGAGCAGACTGGTTGAGGAGCGGTGGGGACAAGCAACAGGGAATGGAGGAGGGGGCAGGCAGCAGCATGCTGTGTGGTTAGGGTGCAGCCTATCGCACACGATGATAACAATCAAGGCTTTCATACCTGCATGACGACCCTGTGCTCATAGGCCGCGACACATGCTCCGGTCTTGAAGTAGGCGCTCTCTGGCATGCGCATGTGATTCAGTCGCGTGCGGTCGCGAATGAGTGACAAGCGCCTGTCCATACACATCAGTTTAACGGCGGCACAAATCCAGAAACATGTCAGTACGAGCACAGTAGTTTTGCTTTGAGTTTTTGTGACCACGAGCAACGAATCCAATCCCCCAAAACACTGACCTGTCCATTTGCTTCACGCGCCGCTTCTTCATCTTGTGCACGACAGCCATAATGTGGCTCATGATGCCCAGGTCCGCCTGATGCATGATGTTAGGCATGACAACGAGGTAGGGATTGCCCCACGCGGTCCCTGGGACATCCCACTTCCAGAGCACACACTGGAAACCGGGGATGTGGTGGGGAATGGAGGAGATCTGTACTTGTGAGACCCGGGCAGCCAACGTAAACAAAATGCCTGGTGATTTGAATGGGGCACAGCACATCTGACCATTCCTCGGGGTTTAGGAGTGCATAGACTGCACAGGGTGGCGGGCAACATGTCGCTTACCTCAACAGGGTAGGTCGAGTAGGTCTTGCAGGGGTTGTCCTGGTTAGTTGTCATCCCAGCCGTCTCGTTAACGATCCATTGCTGCTGTTCAGGCGTGCGCGGCATGTTCCGTGCCTTGACAGCAACTTGATGCTCCTGTTATCGCATGGGGGTGTGGGATGGGATACAAAGGTAAGGGTGGTGAGTTCATGGGTTGTATAAGGCGACATTCAAACGACAATGTCTTTGGCATGAAAGCTCACCTTTGCAGCATAGCAGATGCTGCACGACATCCGTGATCCATGCGAGAGTGTGCAACTGATCTTGCCGTTCTCGGGGTAGTCGCACACCCACGCGTACAGCAGGGGCCGCACGGTTTGCCAATCACCGAAAGGGTCCCTAAGACGGAACCCGCTGCAAGGAACAGGTAGAGTGGCATCAGGAATTGGGAGGACATGATTTGTGCATGTACGAAGAGGGGCAAAGGGGACTGCTACATATCGTGACGCACTGCATACTATGCAGGTGATTGGGTGACGACATAGCAAGATGCAACACCGGGTACGGACCTTTCCATGCCATCGAGAAGCGGCTGCAGCACAGTGGTGACGCATCGCTGGAAGAGCATCACCTTCTCCACGGCAGACATTGCAGAAGGGGGGATAGGAAGGAGGGCAAGTAGCGTGTGGCCGGCTTTCCCCCATCGTTTGGCCTGGGAGATGTTGGCAAGCGTCATCATGAGTGGCCACGCCTTCTTCCGGCCGTTGTTGCTCATGTGCGTCACATCCGAATATAGGATGATTCCCCCCACGACTTGGGTCCATCCTAAGTGTTCCTGCAATGCACGACAAGGCGGCAACGGACACACGGTCAAACACCACCAAGGTAACTGGT